ATTAGGAATACATAATAGTAAACTTTTAAAATGTTCACAAATTTGAAATAGGCCAACACTTCATACGAACAAGAAACATATCTCTGCCATTACTACCAACTTGTACATTTACATATAGGCCTATGTCAATATTTGTCAAGTTTAAGTAAAGGCAATCGATTTTTTTAACAGAAATTATCGATTTTAAAATTGCATAAAATAAAGAGTGCATTTTAAAAGCTTAGGCTACGCACACATAAAGCTAAAAAAAAAATGAATGTAATGTTGTTAGTTAAATATGAAATAAAAAAAATTAAACTTAGTTAAGTGCATCCACCACGTTGATTTACATTTTAAAAAAAATAAATATTTTTTCCCCCTGCTGTTTATTTTTTAAAATTTTGGCATGGATTATATTATGCTATTTGGCATTTTGGCATAATGATGACATTTGCCAGGATTTCGGTCTGCCCCAACAACGGTTGTTTGTAGACGCCGAACTGTTGAATTCGTACGCACAGAAGCCAGAGGAGAAGATATCATTTTGAGAGATGTTAGTCTTGAAAAGAAACGATCGAATAAATGTGTTTATTTTTTGTTTCTTGGTAAACGTAATGCTCCAAATACGGTTAGTATCTAGCGGAGATATGTCGAAGTTACGAGAAGTTATGGAGCAAAAGGCAAGGGAGCAAGGCATCGATCCCCACAATCTGAAAAAGGGTGAAACTTTTATGATACCACCCGAGTTGAATGATGAAGAGGAAGGTTCTCATCATATGCCAATGGCACATAGGTGCGATGGCTGTACGGCAGTTGCTCATCAGGTATTTATTGTAGAGCTTCCTTTATTAGTCTCATACTCTTAATGATTTTTTTAAGGTCTCATCAGCCTCATACTATTATAATATTATTATAATATAGTAATAATTTATATCACACAAATCACAATGGGTAAAAAACAAGGCAGACCAGGCAGTGTAAATGGTAATCGCTTATTTTAGCGCAATAAATTCAATAATTAACTATTTTATAAATAATCAACTTGTTTCATTAATAAAAGTATTTTAAACTACCATCTTTTTGTTAGAATACGACAACATTTAAGACAAATTAAAATAGGTACTAGGATACTCAATGGGAGTCGCTTAGTTGATTGATTTGTCAAGTGATGAGAGTAAAAACGAGTAAGACTTTCGGTAGGCTGTATACAACACACTAGTGCTTGACAACAGTAGTCCGTTACACACTACAACTAGTAATTCAAGATGCCTAGGCAATGTTCGGCTTTTGGCTGTTCAAACAGCAAAGTTAAGGACAGCGGTATAAGTCTGCATAAGTTTCCACTTATGGATAAAGAAAATTTGGTAAAGACAATGGCTTGACAAAGTGGACCTTCGTTAATTATTCACATGAAATCTTGTTCCAACCGGTTATTAAAATATTCCTTTGCCGCACAAATATTGAATAAACACACAAATGATGTCATGTGTATGCCGACATTTCGTCCAATGAAAATTAACAATAAAATAAACAAAGGGCAATGACTCCTGCACAAATATTGAATAAACACGCAAATGATGTCATGGGCACGCACGGAGCTCAACAACAGCCTGCCGATGATAGTATTGATAGTTCCCATCGAATATCGCTCACAAATTTGTCTTGAAATAACTTTCTTCCTGACGTATATTTATTGTCACATTTATGTATTTCATTTAAAAAACACATGTATTCCAGAATATTTTGAAAGGTAAAATTTTTAAGTATCATGACATTGGGGAAGCACTGATGAAATATCTTTTGTTGTGTGTAGCAGCCTAGTGATGGCTTACTCTCATCACGTGACCAAACAAGGAAGTGACTAAGGCGCATATATTCTAGTTCTGCATATGCCCAAAATAGGCACAAAAACATTTGTTTTATGGTATGGCAATATAATTTATAACTATTGCCACTATCGGCTTGGTGATGATCTCATTTACTTGCGTTTTGCTGGTACCTATGCCAGGGTTGATGCTGATCAAATTGGACAAATAAAAATCATGTTCTTAAATTTGAATGGAATTTATATCTTTATCTAATCAATATATACTTAAAGACACTTGCTAAAAAGAACGTCTGTTTTTTTAAAATCAATAATGAGTCACATAATATATATATATATATATATATATAAAATTATGATTGCACAAGTTTATAATAATAAATTTCATTTTTATTTAGTTAAACTTTTCAGTTTTTAGTAACTAGATATTTGATTGAGGTTGAGAAAGATGGAAAACTTTTTTTCCTATTCAAATTATTTAATCAGAAGGCTTTGGTGAAAGACAGTGTCCATACATCGGGTGATCAGACAAATTGCGCGGGAAATATTCTTCCGGCGGACATGTCATGTGACCGTCGGACGACTAGTGGGTGTCATTTTTCCGGCATGTATGTCACATGACAAGAGGTTGCCTCAAAATGGTGTAAAGAGTGATAAAGTGTATCATAAGCGTTTGACTTTAAATTAAAACTTTTATAATGTTAGGTGTAGTAGGCCTAAATGTACTAGCCTATTTGAATCTGACTCTTAAAAAAAAGTCTGTTATCTTGGTTTAAATATCTTATGAAGCTCTACCTAGTAGACTAAATTTAAAATATGAACCAAACAAAATAAGACCAATACTTGCCAATTGACTTTCAAAAAAAGTTTTATGTTAGGCTATTAATATTGACTGAGTGTGAGAAGTAGGCTACCCTAACGGCACACCATATTGCCCCTATGCCTATATTAAGATATAGGGTCTATTTCTTTATGAACTATCGACCTCCCCACATTAAATATGTATCATCCTCACTATCATTTTTATCCTTTCTCTCTTGCTCTCAGTATATTTTCCTTCGAATATGCATTGTTCTCCCCCCCCCCCAAATTTGTTAAAATGAAGTAAACTCGACATTAGCAGTCACGTGACAAGGCTGACACACAAATATCTCACACAATTTTGATACAGCGGTCATGTGACTTGGTTGCCGGACAAATATCTCGAGAAATTATTCTCGCCGGACATGTAGACACTTCGTTGGTAGAATAGAAGGATATTGACAAATTACAATATTATGACACTGATATTGATAATTTAAAAGTATGAAACTGAAATTCTTATTCATATAGATTGCATAGAGATTATAGTATTGAGACTGTTTTATGACTATGCTTGATTTTAAGTTTCAAACCCCTTTTTTAAAGTTAATTTTATTGGGAAAAAGTATGAAAATCATTTCAAATTGATTAACTTAGAATTTATTCATTTTTGCTAATATTATTTAACTTAAATCAGTAAGTTAAAATACAATTTGAATCCAAAGAAACTATTATAAATAATATTAACAACATGTTTGATCATTTTAAAAATGTATAATATTTAAATAACTTGAGCGTCTGTTTTGAAAAAAATACTGTTGTTCCGGTTTAATGTGCTATGTAAATGTTTATTATTTTATTGATAAGATAAAATTCTTCTATTGATCCAAAATGATTGAAATGTTTTTATGTCATTATCAATGGCGCTATAGCCCGTGTAGTGCCTTGGCCTGCTCTGCCACATCCTTCCATCCCGATCAATCCACGGCTTTCCGTCTCCATGTGTGAGCCCCTTGCTGGCGTAAGTTCTTCTCTATATCATCAATCCATCTCAGTCTTGGTCGCCCTGTGAGCCATCAGCCCCTAGGTTTCTGCCTGTAGATCACTTTTGCTGCTCTACCATCTGGCATCCTTTAAATATGTCCTGTCCAGCACAGTCTGCATTTTGTTATTGTTGCGACTATGGGCATGTCTTTGTACAATTGATATAGCTCTTGGTTTGTAGGGATTCTCCAAACATCATTGTCTATTATTTTGCCATATATTTACCTGATGATTTTCCTCTCTCATGTATTGAGCAGGTTCTCTGCTTTTCTGGTAAAGAACCAAGTCTCGGTAGCTTAAGTTACTACTGGTCTTATGATAGTGGTGTATTTTGCCTTTTTTGTTCCAATCACTTTTTCTGACATGATGTTGAACTGGATACATGATTGTTAATCGCCTTGTCTGAGGCCCTGATTAACTGGGAACTCCTTGTACCTTGATTCTACTTTTGGAGTTAGCCATCGTCATATGTATGAGCCAGGTAAGTTTTTAAGGGACTCCAAGTTCCTGTAGAGCATTGTATAGGTAATTCCTGTCTACACTATCATATGCTGTTTTGTAATCCACATATAGTTGGTGTATGTTGATGTTATATTCATATGTAAAAATATGATCCGTGGTTTACCTATTCTGCCGGATTCCGCATTGTTTCCTAGAGGACTAAGGGTGTGTTCCCTAAACCTTTCTAGTTTTCTTACTATAAGTTTTTTGAGGACTTTACTTTATAGTTTGAGCAGACCAACTTAGGTCCTTTTTCTGAATTGGAATTATGAGTGCAGTGTCCCATTCTATTGGCATTTTTTCCTGTTCCCAGATTCTGGATATGAAGTAGTGTATTTGCCTATGCAGTTCGTAAGGAAACAAAGAAGTTTTTAAAAATATCATCTTCACAAATTTGGTTGCGAAAAATGAAGTCATGCAAAGAGGAAGGGAAAAGATCGAGGCTTGTGCTAAACTGACCTTTTCAGTTTGCTCTTTGTGTGCTTCCACTTTTTCAATATTCTATGGGTCATTTGGACCAACAAAAATTTTTTGATGGACCCCAACAAAGTATTCATACATTCCATGTCTGATCTGGTTTATGTTTGCATGAGCGGCCCATCCGTCCTATACAATATGAGCCTCTAAGGATATATCTCTCTATATGCACTCCTGTAACATGATCACACTTCGGCTTGGCACTTCAGGAGCAAGCTGCGCCCACTCTCTCTTTCTATGCCCCGAAAACCCAGTCGCTCTCTATCCACTATTCTATTAAAGGACATCAATAAAAAAATAAGTGTTTAAAAAATACTTCCAACCAGAATAACATAATTTTTTTATAACTGACGTTCAAATGGTAGATTACCTATTTCAAAATCTAAAGAAATCCTGTTAAAAACAAAACAAAAAAAAAGTATGATAAAAAATATTTAAATTTAGAAGATCCAATTTATATAAAAAAATTGACATTAGTACTATCAACTACATTATGTTTAATCTTTATAAACATTAATATTTCTCAATATCTAAAGCAATTCTTTAAAAAAAATGTATTAAATTCAAGTAATTCAAATCTGATTTGAAAATAAAAAATGCTAATTAAATTAAAAAAATTGATTGAAATACTATAAGCTAGATATTTATAAACATTAATATGCCTCAAAATCTAAATAGATCTTTTTAAAAAAAGAAGAAGAAAAAAACAACAATATAACGTTTAAAAATCCTATTTAAATCAAATAAATCTGATTTTTTAAATTGTTTTTAAAAATATCCTGACTTTTATCAACCCAGTTTCTGACATATTTGTTCTTTGGAGTAGTTACACGTTAGACTATAAGTGTAGTAATTTAAGTAAACTCATCTAACTTTGATATGTATAGTATAAAAGACGCTACCAGAGATCACTGAACATTTTTAAAATCTCAGAAAAATCAATACTCTAAATCAAAACCCAAACATTTGTTTTGAATTTTTTGGAGCTACATATTTTTTAAGGATGAGTTTGAATTTATTTGTACTTTTTAATAATGACTTGTTTAGACAGTGGTGTAGGAAGGATTGGTTGTGGAGGGGGGCACTTTTTTCTTTATATGGAGGAGTATTTTTGGCCAATTGCAGAGCTTTTCATGGATGGGGCAGAGGTGGCAAAAAGTGAAAATCTTAATAGGAAAAATAAAAACGAACCTTTACTGGGTGGTCCTGATAACTTATTTGAGATTTGCTTTTATTGATCCAAATAAATGGACATTTTTTTTTTAAATCATAGGTTGCGACTATTTGCACCCGGGTATCAGAAGTGAGAGGTTGGGATTAAAAAACTATTTATTTAAAATATTATTGTTGGGTTTATAAGACAAAATTAGGTATCAAATGAAAGATAATTGAATGGACTATAGTTTTGTAAACTTACTTCTTCAGTTTAACTAAAATAAACTACCACAAATGACATCCAATGGGATTTAGTCTAAGGGACCAAGGTCTAAAGAGCGGTTAAGCAAATGATTTGGTGAATCATGGTGTAGTCAGAATAGCTGTTAAATACTTGAGTGTACATTGGCACTTGAAACTGGGTCTTGGCTTTCTGATATCAGATGAAGCTATTCAATAGAAGTCCATGTGAACACATTTAAAACCAATAGAGCAGCGTGTACAGATCCATGTGCACATTTTAAATAGACTCTAGACAACTTTCCCCAATGTCGGTTGCCTAGTTCAAGATAATTTAAATTGGTCAAAATATATCATTAAATGGATAATTTTTTTTGCAGTTAAAATTCCTTTGAAATGTAAAGTTTGTTCATTTGGTATAATTTTAAGTATTTTATTTATACTTTGCAGTTTGAAAAAGCCTTTGCAAAAGCCCACATGCATGTAAAAAAGGGGCATCCATTGTCTCTAGCTGACGTACTGGATGTTGCAGATTTAGTGTGTGATAAGAGACTGAGAGAGTAAGTAACAAAACTGAGTAAATCTAGAAACTTTAGGAAAAATTGCAGTAGGAATTTAATTACCGTAAATCGCCTCAGGCTTTGCCCCGGCCGAATGTCCATTTTTTGTCCCAAATATTAACCTCGGTAAATATAATGTTACTGCTGATACAGATCTGAATATTTTTTTGAAAAATAAAGTTTTAGAGATATCCAATAAATTTGTATATTCAAATGAGTGGATTGGAGTTCATTTTCCTCAGAAAACCCTGAAAGAAAACGCATCATCTGTTTAACTCTTAGCTTTTTATCCAAATGATGTAACATTAGCAGTGTTGACATTATAATAGTAACATGTTTACATCCTTCCTAAATGGATAGATCACACTATTTGTAAATTTCCATGTCACATTTTAAGTTGTTTTTTTACACCGATCAATAGTAATTTTAAAAAAATGGATTCAGATGATGAAGTTGAAAGTTGATAGCAATTTAGATATAGTTATGCATAATTAATAATTTAGAATATTCCTGTATTTATTAATGAAGTAAATTGATTTTCATCCGACTTTATATAGCTATTGAGTTTAACCTCTTTTATCATTATTTTCCATGTGGATGAATGCTCTTTTTTTTAACGCGCATTTAAGAAAGTTTTCTATGGGTGGGGGGGGGGGGGGATATTATTTTAGGCATATAATGTCTACGCAACCACTTAGAAATTGAGCGCGCATAGTAATTGTGCATAACACCAGTAATGTTAGTAGCCCCCCCTTTAAGGGGATGTAGCATTGTTTTGTCGTTATGACCATAGTTCATTTTAAATATAATAATTTAAAGGTTTTTACATTTTAGTTTAAAATATATTTATTTATTTAGTTAATTTTTATTATATTATTATCGGATCAACATATTGCATTATACATAGACATGGAATTATACATGGAACACGTTATAGGTGATTAATAAATGTTAAGTCTAGAAAACTCTGATTCTGTATCTGGTGAAAATATCTACTGGTTGTTTCATAGCTTTCATGCTTATTTTTGAAAGTTTTCTGGAAATAGCATTTATCACATTGTTTAATTTACAGGCTATGTTATTATTGAATCTTTCAAATTTCAAGTTATTTAAATTTAAGAATATGATAGAAAAATCATAGTATAGTATCTGTTATATGAGGTAGCCCATTTATCTCTTACATTTCACTTCATAGCGTTTATTAATAAGCATTGTTATAAAAAAAGGAAAGTTTTTGAAAGCATTCATTTGTTCATTATGTAACGTTATATACCTGTAAATACTGTAATATTTTTGTTTAGGTAGGCCTATTAAATATTACTTTATAATATACAGTACCACTTCTTCTGAATATGTATGAGATTTCTAAATTCTTTTATATTCAGACTTGAAAAAAAAAAGAACTTGGTTATTTAAATGTCCATGCCTTAAAACAAGGCATCTTAAATTGTTTTTTTTAAAGACCCTCTGTGGTAAATACGGTTACATAGATTTTTCTCCTGATAAAATTTTGAATTCAGGAAAGCAAAGTTTTGAAACAGGGAGTCTAGAGCATCGTGACCCAAATGGTGGTCAGCTGACTGGCACCGGTTCTTGAGCCTTACATTGCCAGTTCACACAACATGGATATTTATGGTCAAATAAAAAGTAACATAAATATATTTAATAAATTGGGCACCAGTCCTTGGTGCGAATTCAAAACTTGTCCACCATATCACCAAACTTAAAAATTTAGGAAACGCTGGTCTAGTACATCCATATGTCAGAGCTTTGACCTTGTGTGTGGCATCACATTAAGTTTGCTAGGCTGTTGCATATGTAAAAAAAAATTCAGAGAATGAAAGATGCCTCATATTTTCTATTGCTCTTGATCAAAATGTTTTGAGCTTTACATGACAGTTATACTCTGGCAGGTATGGCTTGAAAAATATAAATGGTGACAAGTACCTTTCTGGAGAGGGACTGCCTAAAGAAAAAGAACCTGGGATCTTGGAAGCCGGTGGCAAGTGGGATGCCAGGTACATTTTTCAACTCTCATTTTTAACAGATGCTTTGTTTTGCCGACATTGTAATTTTTAGTTTGTAGTTTTTTATGCTTCTAACAGAATCCTATAGTTTTAAACTGATTCCACTTGTGTCACTGTATTCTTCCTTACCTAGATTGAGTACACTTTGCAAAGAACTGATAGAGAAATATGAAGAAGATGGCATCTATGACTTCTACAAAAACAAGGGCAAAGATAGACTGGTTTATTCACTGTGCACATCCTACTGTAGTGAAGATGAAATGACAACATTGAGAAAAGTCTTACAGCCATTGAAAGTGAACAAGAGAGATGAGTTTTAAAATATAACTCTTATTTTAGTTATTAAAATTGATAATGCTGAATTCTTCAAGTTTATATGTGTTTTTTCGTGTTAAAAACCTTTTATTTCAAGTCCAATTGATAATTTAGTATAATTTAAAATTGAGCTAGAACTATACTATGGATGAAATGTATCTGATATATTTTAGAATCACAACTGTCTATATAGATTTTTGTGAGTTCTATGAACAACTAAAAAATCTATCATAGAAATGTCATAGCTGTTTGAAATTGCTTATCAAGGTAGCTCTTGAGCTAAGGTTTAGAATAATTTGTCTTTTATAAAGCAGATTAACTATGTATCAAATTAGATTATTCTAGGAAGACTTTTCCAAAGATTATTTTATTTGTTTCCTAAATGTGTTCATTTTTTTTTAAGGTTTTATCATTGATTTTGTTTAATTTTATTTTAAACTTACAACAACTAGTCCAAGATCACTGATGTTTTGTATTATAACATATGAAGTATAGAGTTTGCAGCTATGTCCAGAGAGCCCTGTGCTCACCTGTAATTATTTTTTATACTCTTAGTACAGTGTGGCTCCCACCAAACCCTTTTTTCTGATTACTAACAAAAACACTTGTTAAGGAATTAAACAAAAGAAAGTGACTCAGACCTGTTTACCCCTACGGTTTGGCATTCTAGTTACTGCAGATTTAAGCTTACGCCTGGGACGCTATGATGAGTCAGAAAATGTAGGGTTTAAAAGTTAAAAAAACCACAAACAAAAACATTTTAAAAAAAATTGTGTGCTTTTTTTTTTTTTTAACTGTATTTTTTATGATAACTCTATAAGCAATTGAATAAAATATCAATGCCATTGCTGTCTTTATCCAATCGGAATGAACCCACCATAATCTTTTACTTTTAGAGGAGGCGTTAATACTTAATACCATGTTACGTTTATCTGCTGTTGCCATTTTATTCTTTTTGTATGTTAATTCGGAAACCGAACTGGGTGCAAAAAGTAGGGACAAAAAGAAGGCAAAAAAATCTTCCATTAGCTAACTGATGGGAATATTTGAATTGAACTTTCAACTTTTGCACATGACCAATTAATTAAATATTGTTTTCACAAGACCTTCAAAGTTAAGAATGAAACTCTGAGAAATTGCTATCAGTATTATATTAGTAAACACGTGACTGAGAATGGTTGCCCATGACAATGGCTGCACACTGCACCACATTATTATAATTCTGTGCACTGCCCTAAAAAATGTAGTGGAAATGAAACAAAGTTAACAGGAGTCATGACCCATATTTGGCTTACAATAAAAAATACTGTAAAACATTAAACCTTAAATTAAGTTGGCTAGACCAGAGTTGGGGAACCTGCGCATGCTGACTTCTAGATCTTCAAATGTGGCCTTTTGTTTGTCTAATTTTACAGTACAATCTTTTTATTTACTGTCTTTGGTATACAAAAATGACCAGATAATTTTTTAATATAATTTACATGCATACAAATTTATTATGATATAATTTGTGCTAGAGCATGGTCTGGTAGTGGGCATTATTTTTGAGACCTGAAAACTATTCTGACACTAACCAAGGAGGAGGGATGGGTAAACCGGTCTGGTGACTTAAAAATTTCATTTTCCATTTACCGTACTATAATCTTATTAAAATGATTAAATTTGTATGTTTTTATGTTTAAATTATTCATGAAATGTTGAGGTTACCTGTGTTGTTAATCTTAAATATAATGGATGCCTAACAACGTTCATTTAGGCCCAAGACCTGCAACCTGTCAATCAGCCTATGTTTGACTTAATACTCTCAAGGAATCGTAAACATTCCATTGTTCTTTACAGACTGCTGGCTAAATCAAATTTATCTATGTACAATTTAATTTTAAAATCAACTGCCTTTGATTTCTGCATCTTAAGGTTATCCATTTTAAATTATTTTACAATTTATTTAAAGATGTTTAAAAACTTAGTTTTCAAGAATTCATAAAACTATCAAATTAATGTAAACCATTCAGTTTTGTTCAATATGCAAGAGATGAACATATTTTTGTTATAAGAATTTCATTAAAACCAACTCTACTTGTTATGTTGATTAAAGGTGCCTGCTACAGAGATAATGTCTAACACACTGATGACGAATGCACTATTGGGTTCGTCAAATTATTTATGCAACATATTTATTTTGTTCATGCTATTTTATTAAAATGAACAATAGCATACCTTCATTTAACCAATTATCTAGTTTAAGATATTGAGTTAACCATCATAATATTTTTTTAATGAGATTGCACACTGTTCAACATTGCTATCTGATTGCAATGACTATTGTTTGGTATTGGACTATCAATCTTATGTTCAGATTTGTTTCATTTGTTAAGATTTGTTTTCAAACTGCTGACACAAACTATTGTTCATTGTTGTAATCAAAAGCTGTGGCCTATTTATAGATTATTTTTTACATAATATTTCATTTAGCTTCAAGGAAATTTGGTTAAATTCATCAAAGACTCAGCCTGATGTATAATTTAAATCTAATTAGAAGTTGTTTTTAAAGCATTTTATAGCTCCTTAGCTCAATCAGAGTCGAATAATTTTGTTTAAATTGTTGTTTTAATTAGTTGATATTGCTAAATGAAGAATTTAATTGTTGTAGTTCCTATCATTAGAAATATCTCTATGTGAATGTGATACTGGGACTTATATATACATATTTCTGAACCAACAGCTGTGCTGGTGTATCTAAAGGCATACATGCCAACCTGTGGGATAAAAAATTGTACGAAAAGAAGAAAAAAGGTATAACAGCATGAAAAACTACAGAAAAAAAAAATGAAGTCGTAAAAGTTTCATTTATAATTCTTTCATCATTTTTTTATGTTTTAAATGCATTCATTAAAAATAAATAATCTAACTTTTGCTGCTTGGAAATTTTAGCATGTTTACATCATTCATAAATGGATCGATGATATATTTTAAATGAAAATAGCTTCTATTACAGTCATGTTAAATGAAGTCATGCCTTAGTAATAAATAGGAATACTGACTGATGCTGGTCATTGATTAGGGTTTACTACTCAAAGTAGTTCCTACCGTACGATGCTGTCTTAGTATTAACAAATGCTATCAATGAAACTGCCCGCTGTTTTTAAATTTAGATGATCCTGAACTTGTTCATTTTGAATGGATAAATTAGATTGAAGTTTCCTGTTATCCAACGTTGAATTTATTGCACGCCCAATTTAGACCGCTGCTTGTACAAAAATATTTCTTTTCTAAATCAGCGAAAACCCAGGTAAACCTTACAGGTTGGCATGTGCATCCAAAGGTGACAGACAATGATATTATTTTATACCTTATTTTCACAAACTATTTATTGATAGGTTGCGTTGCCAAGACTAAATTGTTTTCCTCAATACATCATGTTTATTCCTTGTCCTGGCTTAATGCGAAATCATCTCTCACTGAACATGGCTCATTAATTTTTGTTGTTGGTTGAACTTGGACTTAAAATTTTATAAATTAAATGAGATATTTTAAAATTGTTCAAAATATGTTCAATAAATATATTTTTAGATTTTTACCGGAACAGTTGTTTATTTTTTAAATGCTCTAAGTGTAATTTTGTTTTGTCCTGAAATTGGTTGTTCTATTGGAACATCTACCTGCTGAAAATTAAAATTACTTTCATTAATTAATTTTTTACTCCAAGGAAGAAGTATTTTCCAGGCCCGTTCGCAGAATAACCTGGAAGCGCTGAGTGGGGCCTCTGTAAAATCCTGTGCACATTGAGATTTCTAAAATGCATGCTGTAACCAAACATGGATTACTTCCCTTTGCGATAATAGGGATTACCTCCCTTGGTGATACTTGGAATTACTTCAATTGGTGATAATAGGAATTGCTTCCCTTGGTGAAAATAACGGTTATGACACAGGAATAATTGTGAAAATCATATCAATTATTTGAAAGTAGGGAATATAAATCAGGAAAAACAAAACAAGGGGGAATAACTTATTAAGTTATTAATGATTTAGACAAAATAAATTGAACTATTATATTTTCCCGCCGATATGTCAAACTGAGATACGTCAAAGGGCCGTGCATTAGAAAAGTTTTTATCTTCAAATGATAAACTAAATGATAATCAGAAACTTATCATTAATAGGGTTAGGCATTTTAAGCTTTACTTTTTCATTGCAAAAATTTCTTAACCCACAAGTTAAGTACCGTTATTACCACAAGTTGGACTAGATGTAAAAAAAAAAAAAAAATTAAATAAAAATATAATTTAAAAAAAAGAAAAGAAGAGATAACCATAACAAGTAGCCTATAACTAAATGAAATAGTTGTGTCTCAAAATGTTGCCAAACCAAAGTTTATTTAATTAATTTAATCTTTACTTTTTCATTGCAAAAATTTCTTAACCCACAAGATAAGTACCGTAATTACCACAAGTTGGACTAGATGTAAAAAAAAAAAAAAAATTAAATAAAAATATAATTTAAAAAAAAGAAAAGAAGAGTTAACCATAACAAGTAGCCTATAACTAAATGAAATAGTTGTGTCTCAAAATGTTGCCAAACCAAAGTTTATTTAATTAAGCAGTAACGTGCCAGACACCAGCCCATTAGTGTTGGAAGCTGCTCGAAAATCGTTCTTTTAAAAGCTTATTGTATTGTATATAAAGGGGCTGTAATTTTGCTAAACTGCAGTTTTTCGTGTAGGCGTAGGGATGGCAAAAGTATCGGATCTTCCCGTGTGGAACTAACCCTTGCTGCGCCACTTTATTGGGGAGATATGAGTCCATGGGGACTCTTATTATGCGTGTTCCCGAGCGGCCCGGCCCACATTGAGAATGGAGATGTAGATTAATCCCGCGAAACGTGGCGGAACAGATTCAACTATTAGAGTCATAAATTGCACAAGTCTAGGCTTTGGTTGATGCGTAAGTAGGCGAAAATTTGCTTTGTGCACAACTATGCAGAAAATTTAAAAGAAAACGTTAGACAAACATGATTTAATGATTGAGACACACATGATTTAATGATTGAGACACACATGATTTAGTGATTGAGACACACATGATTTAGTGATTGAGACACACATGATTTAGTGATTGAGACACACATGATTTAATGATTGAGACACACATGATTTAATGATTTAGACAGTGATGACATCAGAAGGACATTTTAAATAAAAATCCCAGCCTTAGAACAAACCACGTGATCGAAGAAATGACCAATGCCACGTCATTGACACGTCTGCTGACAACCTTGAAATGACGAGGCTTTGACCCACAAAACGAGTCCCTGTGATCACGTGTGACATCTGAGGCAGCGATAGAGTCGTCTGGATGGTGGACATTGTCTGGAGACGAATCACCGCCAGTGGATTTATTTTTCACTTCCCCGATTGAAAAGTTCAAATTGCCTTGTGAAGATTTCCCATCATACTGGCAATTAAAATAAGAAATTAATAAAAAAACAACAACAAAAGAACAAAGTTTTAAAAAAGTAAAAAATATATTACCGGCAAAGTGGATGTGAAATTCATGCGGACTATAGAATCATACGTATTGCACGCACTGTGTCATACTGGACTACGAAAAAAACAACATTTAAATACTGCGAACAGCTCCATAACAACAGCTAATAAATATCTATTTTACTCAGACCTCTCCATTAAAATTTGTCCTTCTGCTCGGTAGTTTCAAAACAGCAATTTGGAGCGGAAAACAAGGGGAGAGACTGGAATTGAATCAGGTTAGCACAATATAAAATGAGTAAAACAAAGTAGGGTTTAACCGGAAAAAAGGAACGCAACAAAACAATGAATGTTTCGACAGGAAGCCTTCGTCAGCGAAAAAAAACAACAGAAAAAACAGAATAAAAAATAACACTTAGCTTAGAAGTAGTATCCACGGGGAGCAAATGAATTGTAATTCCTTTTTTCAGGTTTAATCCTATTTTGTTTTACTAATTTTATATAGGCTTAATAGTAAGATAGTGTCTTCTAAGGCGCTCAAAGCCTCCAGCCCGTGCTTTAAACAAATCATTTGATAAACAATTTTAAAGGCTGTAACTGAGCGGGAGTGATTACCTCGGTCACGTGATGGACGCAGACGACAATAATGCCGACGATGACCGTTAGCACGGCGAGGGCGATCAAGGTGAAGACGTAGATAGTGATGTAGGGCAGAGAGTTGGACGACCTGGGCAGGATGCTGGTCACACTGCTCATGAGGACAGTCTGGGCCAGCAGCACAGTGATACCTGGGCAGACGACAGTAAACTGGTTACACTTACACATATAAGTCAAAGCGGTTAGCAGTGCCGGATTATGACATGAGGAGTCGCCTTGGCAGTCGAGACTTTACTTCACATTTGTGTACCGCGCGAGTGTGCATGAAGGGTTCACCACACGATCAGCAGTTATTAGTTAGGCTACCCCAATTCTTAGATTACTCCCAACCCAAGCAAGTTATCCGCATCCTTCACTTTTTGTTCGAGTCCTATCACAACTCAGCTTTGAACACGTTTGTGTTTGTTTTATATTTTACGGGAATAAATTCCCCGTTCCCTCGGGGCCCATGGGCACGTGCCTCATTTGCCTTTAGGTTAATCCGTCCCTCGCGGCTTGGCACTGGTCATTAGGAAAATGCCCTCAGATGGACCGTTGATTTATTACCTAAAAATTACCTGGTAATATCATTGTGTCATGGAACAAGATCAACATGAATAAAACTAAATTTCCTTAAAAAAATAAGATACATCAAAAAAAAAAAATAAATAGAAACCTTTTGTTTAAATTTAGCATGATTGTTTTAACTTCTTTAGGCAACATTCACTTTAACCGGTAGAGCTGAAAAATTCCCAGTAAACAACTTGGTCTTGTGAAATAGAGTAATTTCTAAAAAAATCGGGGGACCCTAGAGAATAGTTGTCCCCCTTGTTTTCTAGTGTAAAAGTATTATCATGCGTAAAAATCTACTACACTAACACCTATACACACATGTACAAGTACACCTGCGTTAATTGAACTTGAGACATTTCTAAAGATTCCTCCTTACCGTAGCTGATCTTTTCCCCAGAGCCAACAGGGATGAGAAAACTGAGAACGTTCAGCAATGAAAGGATGACAAGGGGCGGCAAAGGGCGACAAGGGGTGACACGATGGACACGATGAAAATAGATGGGCGCCTCTTTAGCATGAAGTTGATCTACAGCGGACGAAAGCGATGTCAGGCGATCTACAATTGTTGACATTTGTTTTATATTTATACTTGATTTCTGGTCTCTCACCATCTCACCAGCTCACCATCTCATCAACTCAACAGCACACCATCTCACCAATTCACCATCTCATCAACTCAACAGCACACCATCTCACCAACTCACTATCTCATCAACTCAACAGCACACCATCTCACAAACTCACCATGTCATCAACTCATGAGCTCACCATATCCATTTGTTAAACAACACAATATATCATTGGTAACATTCATAACATATAGTAGCACTACAGTGTATGCCATGGTGTAGCTAGGGTTAGTGCGCCCTGGGTTAGGGCTAGGGTTAGTGCCGCCCTGGGTTAGGGTTAGTGCCGCCCTGGGTTAGGGTTAGTGCCGCCCTGGGTTAGGGCTAGGGTTAGTGCCGCCCTGGGTTAGGGTTAGAGCCGCCCGGGGTGGACCAATCTTGTTGCCTTTTCCTTCCAATGGTCACTACGTAGAAATAAGTTCCGAGCTAATGAATGACCGCCCAAACCCCACCCTTTTCATACATAATAATTGAAGGACAAGTGTGTGTGTGTGATTGCGTTTCACATACATCAACTACAGAAAACCGACTCCCTTGTATGGGATTGATGTGTGGGTAGGTTGTGGCGTCCTGAATCTCCCACTCGCCATTTTCCCGGAACAAGTTGAGACTGACTTCCGGTGAGTCCGTGCTGAAGACAAGTCGAGTGATATCTAAAGAAATTGACGACACCTGGAACATAGAACAATCCAAATGTAAAAATTATTTGTTTCGACCTACCGTGTAAATAATTTATAATGAGCCTTAATCAAATTCTAGCCTTGTAACGAATGTCTTTTTTGTCTTAAATTCACAATGGACGAAAAACAATTGGATTTCTCAGATTTCTAGTCGTAAAACACTCATTAGAATATCCGCATTCTTCTCTTTAAACCTGACTGACATTGCAACTAACTTGGCTTACTATATACAAGGTTCTCAAGGTCGTGTTACTGTTAACGTAAAATGGGGAATATATCCTAACCAATCAAATCATTTACATACGTGTATCGTGCAGCTCTGTTCATCGAGGGGATAGTACGTCATGTCAAGGCTACAGGATGTCGTCATCAGACCACTCTGAGACAAAGCAACTCTTCCGTCGTGGAAAACTACCAACGGTCTGTACGCGGAAACATAAAACGTATTCTAAATTGAGAAACTAAGATAGTCATATCATCGTGACAGACTATGATAGTCAGATCATCGTGACAGACTATGATAGTCATATCATCGTGACAGACTATGATAGTCATATCATCGTGACAGACAAAGATA